CCAAGTGTAATTTGGCCTTCCTGATTTCACTCCTGCATGCCTCAGCAATATTTTTATACTCCTCCCTGGTCATTTGTCCACTCTTCCACTTCCTGTAAGCTTCTTTTTTGCGTTTAAGGTCAGCAAGGATTTCACTGTTTAGCCAAGCTGGTCGCCTGCCATATTTACTATTCTTTCTACGCATCGGGATGGTTTGTTCCTGCAACCGCAATAAGGATTCTTTAAAATACAGCCAGTTCTCCTGGACCCCTTTGCCCTTCATGTTATTCTCCCAGGGGATCCTGCCCATCTGTGAACCTGCACTCTGGCTCTGATGAACCAGCTGGGCTGTGGAAGGGGTTTCAAACCTTGGTCTGGATTAGCAGTTTGGTCCTTCTCTGCTTTACAGAGATCAGAGAAGAAAATATTGTTTGTTATGGTAAATCACCAAAAAACAACCTGCAGAAACTTATTGTCCAAAAAGGGATCTAAAATACAAAGGGCCCTGCTCACTTCCCCAAACCCAATCAAACCTTCCATTTCCTTCTTGCTCTGAGCAATGTAACATCATGCAAATGCTTGGCCCCATGGTGGGACAAGTTCCTCTTTCATCCCCACCTAATATATAAGAATCCTTTTTCAGGGTGATGGTGGTGGGGGAGAGACAGCTGTATCTCCAAGCTATTACTATCAAACATAGAAGTTGATGTTCTAGCATCTCTGAGTCTGTCCTCAGAACAGTGATATGGCCAGATGGTCTAAATGGCCTCTGCAGAGCACATCAGAACAGATGCATGCAGAAAAGCTTAATATGTTGCCAGGGAAATGAGCCACTTATCAAGCAATCAGCCCGAGTTTTTGCAGGTCCTGACAAGTGGTTGCACCTGCAGTGCTCCTGCCTCTCTGCAGATCATAGAATATCAGGGTTGGAAGGGACCTCGGGAGTTCATCTAGTCCAACCCCCTGCTCAAAGCAGGACCAATCCCAACTAAATCATCCCAGCCAGGGCTTTGTCAAGCCTGACCTTAAAAACCTCTTAGGAAGGAAATTCCACCACCTCCCTAGGTAACCCATTCCAGTGCTTCACCACCCTCCTAGTGAAAAAGTTTTTTCTAATATCCAACCTGAACCTCCCCCACTGCAACTTGAGACCATTATTCCTTGTTCTGTCATCTGATACCACTGAGAACAGTCTAGATCAGGGGTCTCAAACTCAAATGATCATGAGGACTAGTACATTGGCCCAAGAGCCGCATTACTGATACCTCCCCCACTGCTGCCCTCAGCGCCGCACCCACTCCACCCCTTCCATGAAGCCCCGCCCCTGCCCTGCCCCCATTCCAACCCCTTCCCCACCCCCATTCCAACCCCTTCCCCAAAATTCCCACCCCAACTCTGGTGTGGGGTGTGGTGGGGGCTCAGGGCAGGGAGTTGGAGTGTGGGGTGCAGGAGGGGTGAGGGGTACAGCAAGGGTGCAGGGTGCGGCAGGGGGCTCAGGGCAGTGGGATGGGGTGCAAGAGGAGTGTGGGGTGTGGCAGGGGGTCAGGGTGCAGGAGGCCCAAAACTGGACATAGCAGGGCTGCCCAGAGGATTCAGGGGGCCTGGGGCAAAGCAATTTTGGGGGCCCTGTGTTGGAGACCCCTGGTCTAGATCTATCCTCTTTGGACCCCCCTTTCAGGTAGTTGAAAGCAGCTATCAAATCCCCCCTCATTTTTCTCTTCTACAGACTGAACAATCCCAGTTCCCTCAGCCTCTCCTCATAAGTCATGTGCTCCAGCCCCCTAATCATTTGTGTTGCCCTCCACTGGACTCTTTCCAATTTTTCCACATCCTTCTTGTAGTGTGGGGCCCAAAACTGGACACAGTACTCCAGATGAGGCCTCACCAATGCCGAATAGAGGGGAATGATCACGTCCCTCGATCTGCTGGCAATGCTCCTACTTATACAGCCCAAATTGCTGTTAGCCTTCTTGGCAACAAGGGCACACTGTTGACTCATATCCAGCTTCTTGTCCACTGTAACCCCTAGGTCCTTTTCTGCAGAACTGCTGCCTAGCCACTAACCCTAGTCTGTATCAGTGCAGGGGATTCTTCCATCCTAAGTGCAGGACTCTGCACTTGTCCTTGTTGAACCTCATCAGATTTATTTTGGCCCAAACCTCTAATTTATCTAGGTCCCTCTGTATCCTATCCCTACCCTCCAGCGTATCTACCACTCCTCCCAGTTTAGTGTCATCTGCAAACTTGCTGAGGGTGCAATCCATGCCATCCTTCCATCTTTGGAAGGATGTCATCTTGTGTCCTGTGCATCACTGTGGAAGGATGTGGACTTGTGATGTCGTGGTATAGCTGAGAATTGTATCAGGTGCCTGGAAGGAGTATTGATCTGGTGTCTGATGGAGCCTAAAAAAGTGGCACTGTCCCACTCCTAATACTGGACCATGGTTACAGAACTACCAAGGGAGCGAGGACCCCACACCTGGTCTGCAATACCTGGGCAGAGCAGCCTTTGCCTCTGCAGCTTTGGCAGGGGCTTGGTCGTGATTCAAGGTAATTCTCCCAGTACAAGGTCAGATGTGGCTGATGCATGCCTGTGCCCATAGGGATTGCACGTGAACGCTCCCTGCTTCTTCTTTCCCTGCAGGTGGAAACTCGAGGGGCCTTTCTCATGCTCATGGAGATAGCCAGGCTGCTGGGATTAGAGGAGACCAAGATGGCCAGTGAGCAGGACCTGCATCTTCTCAGGCTGCTGACGCCAGTTGCTAAGCTCTACACTGGGAAACAGGTATTGGGTGGCCACATTCGATCAGCCTGGGATGGGCTCTGTGCCGCATGTCACTGACCTTGAGCTGGACGGAAGAATGAATTACAGGGAGAATACAAATTGCAGCAGCAATACAGTGTCCAGGGCTTGGGGTAGAAAGAGGAAAACCTGCTCCTGCAAGGCTAGCAGAACAATGGAATGACTGCTGCCAGTTAGGGCAGGTGGGTTAATTAATTGCTCTGCATTGTGAGGAGTGGAGGTCAGCTATAGGGCACGGGAGAGGTGTGTTCCGATCAGTGATTGGTGAATGAGGCACATGTCTGATCAGAACAGATGGAACAGTCGTGTGGGTTTTTTAAAGTGTGTGTACACTTGGCCATAGGCATGCGCACTGGGTGTGCCCAGGCACACCCTAATCATGCCTGAGCTCGGTCTGGGAAGGCTGCTCCTCCCCCTCCCCCGCTGGAGGCTTGGGGCGGGGAGGAGGACAAATAGAAGGCTGCTTAGCACACCCAGGGAGATCAGCTGTTGGCAACTGCTAATCAGCTATTTAGCATGCTGCAGCAGCCCTCATTACCCCTTTGGCTGGCTGCAGCCAATCAGCTGTTTGGTGTGAAGTCGGACCTATCAGCTGTTTCCCCTACCCCTACTGCAGCTTGGAGATTGCAGGCAGAGGTGAGTGAGTCTTTCTGATTTTCAGGGTAGAGGAAGCTGGGGTACGGGGGACCAGCCGCCAGGGCACAGCAGCTTCTGGGCTAGCTGCAGAGGGGTGGGCAGCCTCTTGGCTGGGGGGAGATGGGCAGGCAGTTTCTGGGTTGGCTCCAGGGGACTGTGGGGGGTGTACGGGCCAGGGGCTTTCTCAAGGACTGAGCCAGCCAGTCTCAGCCCACCCTGGTGTTTCCCCCAGGACCTGTGTTCCCCCTTCAGTCAGGAGAAACCAGCTCCAGACTCCCTTAGTGCTGGGCAGGGGGGCAAACCAAAGGACATAGCTCCTTTAAGAAAAGTTCTTCCTTGTGTCTTTTGAGTGAAATTGGGCTGGGGCCTGCAGCTTGCCCCCCTCCCCCTTCTTTACCTGTCCAGAGGGGCTTCACTCCAGGCCCAGTTGCAAATGAGCAGCCTCCCCAAGCCTGGATGCTGTCCAGCCCCCTCCTATGTAGGCTCTGGGAGCTTCCAGCCCCTGTGGTTCCCTTATGCCTGGGAAAGTAATGCTTGCCCAGCTCAAAGCTATCTCCCCCTCCTCCATGCCCAGATCAAGCCTGCCTGAGGGGCTTTTCCTCCAAGAGGCAATTTATCCCCTCCCCTGCCAATCAGCATCCCCTCCTCCCAGTGTAAGGAAGGATTGATTCTCTTCCTCTGGATCCACCCCCACCCCTCCAGCTCCTGGGGAATTCGTTCCCTTGCATCCATCCCCCTCTATCACTTCAGGTCAGGAGATGCTGCCCTGCTTCACCTTGGGACACCTGAGCTCCTCTTGTTTCAGGGTGCTGGGCTGCTGCAGCCTGGTGGAGTAAGCAACTGGCCCCCACTCCCCTCCCTTTGGCCATGGTCCCCACCAGGGGCTCCCCTCCCACAAAAGTTGTAGAGTGTGTGAAGGAGTCAAAGTGGGGTGGGCTGTAGCCCTGGGATTGGGAACAGCTGGAGCAACAACACAGCAGCCACACAGCAGGATGAATGAATGGGCCATTTCTATGCTGGGCTGTTGAATTAAATTTCTCTCTGTGTCAGAGCGTGTAGTTTCTAGGCTGGCTGCAGGGAGTGGGTTTCGGGGGAGACAGAGCTGCTTTGAGTGCGTGGGTGGGAGCTGCTGCTAAACAGAGCTACCAGGAAGTGGGGAGCAGAGAGAGATGGGAAAAGGGACACAGATGGAGAACAAGAACTGGGAAACATCAGGAAGGGGAGATACCAATGGTAGACACGCTTTCAATAACTAGGATGAAAGTGTATAAATGTTGAAAATAGCCTCCCCTTAAAACTGGCAGAGTAATCCTCCAGCACCCACATCTCACCCTTAAGGCAGGAGGGGCAGAAAGGAGTGAGCAGCTGGTGGGAGGCATTTAGGGGAGGGAGTTTGCAAGAAGGAGGTTTTCTAGGGGGATGGGGTAGGAAGAGGTGGACTGGGGGTGGAGCCTTGGATAAGGGGGTGAAGCCAGGATGGGGCACCCACCGGCAAAACCAAAAGTCAGCACTTATGAGTCGGGGTGACAGGGTCCCCCCGGCCTGCGCAGGGTGTATTTATTGCCTGTACAAACTTCCCCAGCAGCTGCACAAAGTTGTTGTAATTGTGTCACACAGTGAACCCCATGATGCTACCAAGACCCCCCTTACTCCCCCACCCGGGCCCGCCCAGCCAATCGCTGCCTCCCCAGCGCTACACGTGACCTTTGACTTACCTCAGTCATAGCACTCTTTCACCATTGCACTCCAGCTTGGTTGGTGCTCTCAGTACCTGCCCCGTAAGTGCCATCACATCATTGGTCAAGGGGATGTCCAGGGGGTGGGATTTGGTGGGGACTCTATTCTGAGCGGTGGCATGGTAAGGGGGCTGGGCCGGGTCACGGTGGGTTGGATATGGGCCTGACGGTCTTGGTAGCAGTCGGGGATGGGGAATGGGGGTGTTGGATAGGGTGTGGAAGTCCCAGAGGGCCTGTCAGGGGCAGGCGTGTGGCTAGGGGTCAGGGCTGTCAGGGGACAGTTGGTGGGGATAGTTGGTGGGGTCCTGGGGGGTGATTGGGAGCAGGGGGGGGTCTCTGGAGGGGGCGGGCAGGGGACAAGGAGCAGGGTGGTTGAATGGGTTGGGAGTTCTGGGGATCCTGTCAGGAGGCAGGGAGTGGTTGGATAGGCGTGGGAGTCCCGGGGGTCTGTCTCGGGGTGGGGGTGTGGATCAGGGTCGTGGCAGTCAGGGGACAGGTAGGGGATAGGATCCTAGGGAGGCAGTTACGAGGGGGGGGGGGTGTCTCAGGAGAGGGCAGTCAGGAGACAAGAGCATGGAGGCTTGGATAGGGTCCCGTGAGGGGACAAGGAGCAGTGGGGGTTGGGGTTCTGAGGGGGGCAGTCAGGGGACAGGAAGTAGGAGGGTGTGGATCGGGATGGGGGTGGGGCTTGGGTGGGACTCCCTGGGTGCACACCCTAATGAAATGTGCTGTGCATGCCTATGCACTTGGCTGAAAATATTTTGCTAAATTAAAAAAGAGAATTCTCCTTTGGGCAGAGACCAAGCAAAGACAATTCACTCCCCAAAGGAATTTGTTTCCTACAGTTATGAGCAATTGAAAAAGGGGCTTGGGTTTGTGTAGAAGTTCAGTTTCAACCTTAACTCTATAGAAGTCTCCCCTGCTGTTTCTCTCTCTCTAAATGTGTGCAGAAGTTTGAATGGATCCACTTATCCAGGGAGGGAGGTAATGTGTTTGTCTTGAAACAAATTGCTTTACTTCCAGGCACTAATTTTTTGCATTATTTATCAATGGAGCATGGGGATTACTGTCTGCTTCTCAGGGCAACTTGCTGGCCTCTCACAGTTGACACTCTAAGCTGCTGAACTTCAAGATTTTGACCAAGTGGCCCTTTGACTAGGCGCGTTTCCCAACCTGCTCTACACACAGTACTTACAAAATCAGACATAAAATACAAAAGTGGCACAGCACACTGTTACTGAAAATTTACTTTCTCATTTTTACCATATAATTATAAAATCAATGGGAATATAAATATTGTACTTACATTTCAGTGTCTAGTATATAGAGCAGTATAAACAAGTAACTATGAAATTTTACTTTGTACTGACTTTGCTAGTGCTCTTTACGTAGCATGTTGTAAAACTAAGCAAATATCTAGATGAGTTGATGTACCCCCCAGATGACCTCAGTGTCACTCCAGGGACACATGAACCCCTGATTGAGAACCACTGCCCTAGATCCTCTCCCCAGAGAGTCCCTCCAAATCCCTTTATGTCCATGTAGGGTAACGAGTCACCTGCCTCACTGAGTCAGCATAACCCACTTAACCCTTTCCCTGCAGGATCAGCACCCAAAACTGTTTGGCTGCAACATAGTAATTAGCATGGAGGACAGCATGAGCCATTTCTCCATCTGGGTAATTTGGATCTTCCAGTTCAAATCCTGGAGTCTTGTGCTCTGTGTTTTGCAGGCGATTGCTGTTATTTCTGAGGGACTGGAGTGTTTTGGAGGGCAGGGCTACATGGAAGACACAGGCTTGCCAGTTGCACTGCGAGATGCCCAGGTAAGAAAACACAAACTAAGCACGACAGTTCTTCTCCATAGCTCCTCGCTTGGTGCCCCTCAGGCATCCCTTTGCAGTGCTGCACTGCAGTCTGGCTCTCTGCCAAAGACAGATTGCCAAATGTGTACGCTCATGCCTAATGTCATGGCTGTCCTCTGCCCATTTGCCAGCCCTGCTCTTGGACCCCACATCACCACAGAGCTCTAACACTGTGATAGAACTGACCAGTCTGTCATTGTTCTTCTCGTCTTGATGGGCCATTCCCCGTCATGTCACTCGTGATTGACTCCTGCCCAGGGGGGCTATTGAGCTGTCAGCCACATACTGACTTCCTCTGCCTGTTTGCCCTCATATGGACTCACTCTTTCCTTAGAGAACCGACCCCTCCTGCTTCACACCTTCCCCTGGGCTGCTCCCATAAACTTGGTCTCCCCCCTCTCATCTCCCCTACAAGCCTTCCTCACCTCCCTTCACAGTTCATTCCCTCTCCAGCCCTTGTCTCCTCTTTGGGCTTTGCAATGCCAACCTCCCGTACCCCATTCAACCCCAGCCTCGTCTGCTCTTCACAGCACTCCATCTGCCCTAGCCACCAGCTTTTAACCCCGTCCTCCTTCCCCAGCCTTTAACCTCGTGTTCTGCAAGCACCGTGAAGTCCTGGCTCTACCCCCGCGTACATCTGCTCTTTCTGACTTAGCAGTTCCACTTCTCCTTGCTCATCCACTCTCCTGACTGTACGCCTAGCAGCTCTACCCTTCAGTCACTATGGGATGTGTGGAGGAGACCAGTCTGAGAGTTCCTGTCATTGGTAAGAAATCCCAATAACCTGTCCCTCCTCCTTCACAGGTGCTGACCATCTGGGAGGGAACAACAAATATCCTCTCACTTGACGTGCTGCGCTCTCTCACCAAAAGCCAAGGCCAGGTTCTAGATGCATTCTGCTCTGGAGTGCAGGTGTGTTCACTCACGGCAACATTGATCATCCAGAGGTACCACCTCCCTGGACCTGGCTTCTTGCTCCTACTGCAAGACCTGCTGGGAACACCACTGCTTTAGAGTGCTGAGTTGATTGCATCCAACCAGGCATTTCCCCCACTCTCACTCAGGGCTGAGGCTGCTGCTGCCTGGCACCCCATGTTCCTTTCTTATGGCTGTGGTTTGGGAAGGGGAAGACCCCGGAGGGATTTGACAGCTCTCCAGCTATGGCTCTTGGTTTCAACAACCATGAACTACTTTATCTGTTGCATCCTTGAGCTGTAGGTGGTGAAAAAGATTTGACTTACTGAACCAATTCTCCTGTCAACAATTCCCATGCCCGCATGGCTGTCCCACAGAAGAGCCTCAACAATGTGAAAAATGCCCCCAAACTTTCTCTGGAGTGGACTGAAGCCCTTAAAAAGCCCACCCAGCTTAGCATTTCGTTTAACACTATTCCAGTAGGTTCGAGTGACCCCAAGCAAAGCATGGCGAAATGGCTGTCTCATTGCATCTCTCCATGCTGCAGCCAGCTGGGCCTGTCGAGGCTCATTCCACTTGGGGCTTCCAAGCTCCGATCTGGCTAGTCAGGAGACAGTAGGTCTTCTCTGCAGCCAGGTACCAAGCACTATTGCTTAGACTAGGCTTCTAGACGAGAATCCTGTTTTGACATATGGGTGTAACATGACCTGCTTCTGAGCTGCCGGTGCCCCAACTCTCCTGGCCTCTAGAAATTGGATTTATTTTGGGTTTTTATATTACCCACTGTTTTCACTCACTGCCATACCACTCCCTGGCATCAGAGTGTGGAGCAATATGTGGGGCCAGTTTTATTGGCTATGGCTTTGCTACAGTACTTTGGATGCATTTTAAAATCCACTTCTACTCCGAGAAGTGACATTTAAAAAATGGTGGTATGGGGTTCCAGGATTCTTGTATGCCAACAAGTTCATATCAAATTTGATCAGCTCACAAATGAAACAGGCTCTTTCTGAATGTCAGCTGTGCAAAACTCAGCCTGGGCTATGTACAAATAAAGCCGAGTGTTCTGCCTTTTCATGCATCATCAACAATGATTCTGCAGACCAGTTTGTGCCCTCAGTGAAATCTGTGCAGCCCTATTGAAGTAAATTAGTAAATATGATTTGCAAGCAAAGCCCCCTGTTTTTGGTGTCCTCCCTCTTATTTTTAAATATGCATAACCTTGAAAATGATTCTCCATTATAAGAAACAAGTCCAGTTCTGGCTGTATTGTTTGTTGTTTGCAGTAAGGAGAGGCTAACCAAAAAGAGTGGCAGCTCAAACAGTTTCTGATGGATTCAGAAATACCTAGATTCTAAAGGTCATTCCCTGTTTGACTACATCAGTCAGAAAAGTGATGGTAAAAATGGCCCCCTTGATGCTGCCCTCCTGTCAGTTATACTCTTATGGACTTAGAGTAGGTAGACAGGGAGGAAAGCCAAGCTGGAGTTGTTTCTGCCTTTGACATGATCACTGAAGCTGCTGGCTGAGTTCTTATTCCAGAATTTTTTTTCTCCTTATAACAGAGGAAGGGGAAAAAACCCAGTTTGATTTTCCTGTACGTTGAATTTACACCGCTGGCAGTTGGGGGGGAGAAAAAATCACGTGTGTGTGTGTGTGTGTGTGTAGTAAAAA